GTTTAGGGTTTAGGGCTACCTAAAGGACTTGTGGCACATTCTGGCAGTCAGGGTTTGCGGGTTTTAAGGTTTAGCATTTTCGGTTTTTTTCGGTATATGGGGCAAAGGGTTTATGAGGTTCAGGGTTAGGGTTTAGAGGGTTTACAGGGATGACAGGGTTTTGGGGGCTTATAGTGCCTACTGGGTTTGGAGGGTTCTACAGGGTGGAGGGTTTAGGGTGAAGGACTTGTCGCGCATTCTGGACCCACACCTTCTCTGCTTGCTGCTCACCCAGAGCTGCATCATGGGAGGCAGGTCTTGGGTTGATCCTGACAGATTTCTCTTGGTAGGGACTTGGGGCTGTGATAGTCCCTTAAGGTCGTATATAGTAAGTAGAGCCATGTAGAGCCTATAAGACATCCCCCGAATTCCCTACTGAGAATCAGGCAGATTATGGCAGGGTTTGCAGTCAGCATTTAGGGGCGTCGGGTTCGCCGAGAGCCCAGCAGCCCGTCATTAAGCACTGTACCTGCAATGACTATACCTTCAAGCATATCGAAGAACCCGCTGTGGTTTAAGCCACAAGTCATCAGATCATAGAAAGCCCCTGGAATGCCTATGAACCGCAACGAAAAGTCCTTCAAACATACTTACGCGAAAACGTCATAGAGCCCGGCCATTTCTATCTGAGGGTTGTGGGGAATCCCATAAACTCTAAACCCTAAACCCTAAACCCTAAACCCCAGAGTTTCGGACTCTGGAGGCTGTCTGACCTTCAATGCCAACTCGAGCTACTTCACGCAGGTGACGCTCGGGGGCTCGGTGATGATGTCGGCTTACGTGATGCTGACCTTCGGGGCATCTGGGCCCTTGTCAAGAATCTTAACAAAAACAGGACAGAATCAGAATTCGATATATTGAAAACTCCCCTATTGACAAGATAGTTTTAACAGGGCCAACCCTAACAGGGCATAATAAGGATATATTGAGGAGAGCATTCCCCTCCCCTGTTAACATGATGGGATTTTTTTGAACAAGCATGCCTTCCTTGGCAGGAAAGCTTAGTTTAACTTCCTGGATGAGAGCCCTTAACCCTAAACCCTAAACCCTAAACCCTAAACCCTAAACCCTAAACCCTAAACCCTAAACCCTAAACCAATGAGAGCCCAGGCATGCAACAGCTTGGGCGCGCTGGTGACGAAGAGCTGTTGCACCGGCAGCATCTTCAAGGTCTGCAAAGTCTGCAAAAACCGTAAGCCCTGAAGCCCTAAAGCCCCTAAAGCCCTGAAGCCCCAAAGCCCTAAAGCACAACAAAGCCCTGAAGCCCGAAAGCCCCTAAAGCCCTGAAGCCCCAAAGCCCTAAAGCACAGCAAAGCCCTGCAGCCCTAAAGCCCTAAAGCCCTAAAATCCTACAGCCCTAAAGCCCTAAGATCCCAAAGCCCTAAATCCCTAAAGCCCCAAAGCCCTAAACCCTACACCTTCGAGGTCTCCAAGATCTCCCTGACGCTTCTGCTGCTCGCCGGAGTGATCTCGATCCTGCTGGAAGAGCGCCTCGTCCCGAAAGAGGGCAGAAGCGAGGGTTTAGGGTCTAGGGTTTAGGGTTTAGGAGTTTCCTGTGGCTTTTTCGCCGGATCATCCTAGAACCTTAGGGTCTAGGGTTTAGGGTTTAGGGTCTAGGGTTTAGGGTTTAGGGTTTAGGGTTTAGGGTTAGTTGGGTCTTGTAGTACCATACTTTAATGCCTATTCTTGGGACCTGTTCCTTCTTCTCCCTGGTTACTGCGTGCCTAAGCCCGAAGCCCTAAGCCCTAAACCCTGCCTTGTCTTTGGGCCTACAGAAATGGCACAACGCACGCACCTCAACCCCGAAGCCCAAAACCTAAGCCCTAAATCCGAGACCCCGAAAACCCAAAGAACTCTGATTACACCAGCGCCTTGAACTCTAAATCCACCCGAAAGCACCCTCAGTTGAGGCTCTTCCCCAGTTTCTTGTGGGGATATCTGGTTGGCTCCTTCCTCCAGGACGGCTCGGTCAACGGTAGGGTCTACTGATCCAGACGATGGACGAAGATTTTGCGATTGGGCTTTATAGTTGAGTTTAGGGTTTCGGGTAATCTAGGGGTCGGAATAATTGGTAACAATCGCCCCCAGGGCTCAAGATAGCCAGCGACGCTGGAAGACTTAGTGCCCCAGCACCCACAGTGGTGCGTCTGTGACCGACCCCAGAATTGGGAAGCATCGGTCTTCACCCACGTGGCACCGCCATTCCCGCGCTGCCCGCTCCAAGGCCCGAGCGTTGTTACGCCGAGGCGCTGTCTTGACCAGGACACAAGCTGGGCGACTTTGGTCGCATCACGCTACCGCTCGGGAACTACGACGGCGTTTACAAAGCAGCATGGGGCGAGGACGGACGGGAAAGCCACAGAAGGACGCAGGTTCCAGCTGGCAGGTATGGCGAGGTGCTTATTCGCCATCGCAACGGCCGTGGCGACAGGAACGCGGGCAGGCTTGGGAGCAGAACTCCGGCTGGGATGCAAAGACGTTCAGTTTTCCTTCGTACCAAGACATGGTGACAGACTCTGCACCCGACCAGCGACGAGGGCAAGGACGCTCAACCCCAGCACAGGACACGGGGCCCGTACAGGGCTTACAGCAGTTGCTCAATACCGCGCGCAAGGCGGAGCAGCGGGTGTCGCGCCTGCAAGCACAGAAGGAAAAAGCCCAACTGCAATGGCAAGCCTACGACCAGGAACTGAAGCAGATGTTCATCAAGGAGCGACGCAAGTTCCACTCCAATCTCGATCGGCTCGATCGGGATATCTCCGAAGCCCTGAGAACCAGGAGCGGGCCAGGCTGCATATCTTTCAGGCGCGTGGCACCGACGAGCCCCTGAGTGGGGGCATGGCTGTGGACGACGACGACGACGCAGCCTGGGACAATGCGCGGAGCCAGTGGGAGCAAGAGACAACCCAGGATTTGGATGGTGTCATGGCCCGGGCCATTGCACAGGCCAGAGCAGCGGGGCTAACGCCCTGCACGCCACAGCGCAGCAGGCCCATCCAGCCGATGACCCCGAACCACCAGGCGGTGCGCTCCACGGGTGGCGAGATCCTGGGGCCTTTGACCGATCCCTACCAAGCCGCCGCTCCGGAAGTTGGGACTTCTGGTCTTGGTTGTACTCCGCCGGCTACAGGCACCATGGGTCTGAGTGCGCGGCCACCTGGCTTAGATCCTGCGCTGAGCAGGCAGTCACCGAAGCATCCGGGCCAACGAGATGCCAGTGTGATCCGACAGATGACGTCTGCCGCTCCGCCCCGAGAAAATATCAAGGCCGCGACGAAGGCGCCCCCACCTCCCCCTGCGACTGGGCCGTCCTTGGGAGAGAAGCTGGAGCAACGACGCGCTGCGGAACGGCATGCTAGCTTCTGCCACTGGCGGGCGGCCGATCCGGGCGTCTATCCTCGAGGACGACAGCGACGATGCCGATGTGTCCACGGACGGCAAGGCCAAGGACGACTAGGAGCGAGCATTTCCTCGCTGAACGGCTGTCTCCGTGTTCTACTGCAGGCGGACAGGACGTACGCGTGCGAACGGCTGTGGGCCCCGGAACAGTTTGAGTGTCTGTCTCTCATTGGGCGAGAGTGCAGCACTCACTGTTCCCGAGTCGCCCCCGGTCAAGTTCCTGCGTATGATGCTGTCAGCCTTGCCAGTGAAGAGGTAGCGTTTCACTTTTGGGTTCGTAGGCCGTGTCCCTGTGTACAGGACCCTCCCCATCCGACAGCCTCGCTCGCGTTGTCCTCGGCCGCCTTATCCCCTCCTTGGGTTTTGGAGGGGACCTGGGTGAGCCCCCGCCATGCTTGCAGCAGCCATTCCTCCGGCCTCCTTCCTGTGTGTGCAGTCGGTCGCGTGGTTTTGCCTCATCTGGCCGATTTTGGGACCTCTGGCCTGGGCGATCCTTTTTGGGGAGCGCGCAAGAGATGTATCGGTCGCTCTGGGACATCCGCCCCCACCCTTCGCCCTGCTGCCCGTGTCAATACAGAAGCCTGTATCTTATCTGCCCCTGGCCACCCCAGCCCGCCCTTTGGGTTTAGGTGCCCTAGCCCCCTAGGAGGTTGCGAAGTTGTAGCTTTGCTTCCGGAAGTCTGCTCATGTGCAGTTTCCCGGCCCACCGTCAGCCGTTTCTTCGCTTGGTGGTGCGCATCTCCAGTTGCTGTGCCCCCCGGGATTTTGCACGGGCGCCAGCATGTTGTTTTTGGCTTTCAGTGTCGGCTTCGGCGTTGGGGAGCGCGCAAGAGGTATATCGGTCGCTCTGGGATACCCGCCCCCACGTTCCGCGCCGGCGCTGCTCTGCCGTCCCCTACAGTTTGGTGCCGCTTCTGTGTTCTGGATGCAGCTGCTGCGTTCTTCGGCTGCGGCCTCCTGTGTCTCCTGCGTCTCCTGATGCGGCCCTGGTACACTGGTGCTTCACCCCTGGGCCGACTCCTTCGTCTACCCCTCGCAGGTGCTAGTCCTCAGGTTTGCCAGGCACTCCCATCGCGGCTCGCTGCCTGCCTCGTGTGGTTCTTGGGGCTTGGCAGCTCTCCACAGCCCTTTTCAGTTGGCCTTTTCTGTGCCCCTGTGTGGGTATGTAGTGCAAGTGTTGCGGAAGCCATGGCACGCAACCCTGAGCCGGGCGAACCACCAGGGCGGCCGTATACCGGCCTACATATGCCTCAATTCGACAGTCCGGCCGAGCACGCCGTCTACACTGGTGACTGCGAGTTGTCGCTTCCCTGGCATGATGATTGCCTTCCGCCTGCTGATGACCGGGTATCCTATGAGCACCTCCCAGCCCCACAGAACCTTGAGGCAGAGGCCAATACGGAATGGCTCGCTTGCGTGGTATATACACCCCACTACAAGCCTGTTACCCTTGCAGTTCGGCCTACTGGCCCAGAACCTGCGACAGAGGTGCTTGAACTTGTCAGATCTCATGCTTCAGGGGTTCCCGTGGGCTTGTTTGACAGCGTTACGCCCCTCCACCCGCAACGCTTGTCTGGTTTTGGATATTTTATCCGGTTCAGCAGTTGTATACGGGGCTGCGGCGCAGAGGGCCAAGTTGCTGTGGTCTTGGACCTTACTCGCGTCGGCGGCAATTATTTTGCCACGGTCCTGCCAAGTCGGCTTGAGTATAATGCCCTCGTCAGCTATTTTGAGCCACTGACCAGTCGAGACGAGGAACCGTTGTACTTCTATGTGGGCTGCCGTTCGCGTCCGTGGCCCCCTCAGGCTATAGTCGAGTTGCGAGACGGTGAAGTGATCACCGTTCTGCGCGACAGGGAGGCGCGCTTTGCCAAGTACAGGTACGAAGCACTCTTTCGACCACCCATTGAATGGGGGCAATTGCAGCACTTCCCGGGCCTGGGTCACCAGGTTGGAGTTTGCGCGTTGTACCGGCAACATCGTTATTGCTTCCTCGAGCACCAATACCAGGGCCAGGATGTCCTCCGATTTGTTGCCGATGAGCTTGGTGTGCAACCTTTGGTCTCCGCCCTGTGCAGCTTCCCTATTCAGGACCTTGATGTGCACGGAGACCTGTGTACCTTTATTGTCGCAGTTGCGGATGTTCTTATGCCAACGTCTCGCGAGGCTCAGCGCTACCCCCCACGTGACATCTTTGTTCTCCTGGACTTTCGGCCTATAGGGTATAAGCCCCGGTTCGTCTACACCAACGTGCCTGTAGTGCATATCCCGAGTCTTGCCGCACGGTTCGACATCGCTGTGCCAGCGGCTTACCAGCTGGGTGTCGTGGGTGGCCATCGGGTTGGTCATGATGTGCACCTAGACGGCAGCACGCGCCTGTTGTTCTACGCACAGGACGCTGAGCCAGTTGAGCCTGACCCCAGCCCGGACTCTGATAACACTGGTCACGGTGACGACGGGCCAATCAGAGCGCCCCGTGAAGAGAGGGCACCAGAAGCAGTGCTCCCTGTTGCCCCGCAAGCGCCTTTGCCAAGGAGACATGTGCCACGCCACCGCCGATGTCCCGATTGCTCCCGTCGTGCGGTCTCAGGCCGGCTCAAGCTCTGATGTTGTCAGTGGGGGCGGGCGTACGCTCGGCGCCGTTGATGTCGAAGGGGCGCTTCACGCCACTACGGTGCTCATTTACGCCCCGTTGCATATGCCGGAGCTTGTCACAGTGCGTGTTCCATGCCCTTGCCGGCTTTCTGATTTTCTGGCTGCTGCGCGTGATGCGCGGGCTGCCGATGCCCCCACTCTGTGCCTCTATGCTTCCTTCCCACAGCCCGCCAGGAACAATGCTTATCTTGTTGCCGCGCCAGACTGGCTCAGGGATAGGGCCGTAGTGTTGATCGACTGTACCCGATGCAGTGGTGCACTCTTTACCGAGGCCTTGCCGACCTTTCTTAGTCGTGAGTCGATGATCGTCGCAGCAGGGCTTGCGATCCATGATGATGTCGAAGTTTACGCTCATGGTCTCCAACAGTGCCTTGCACCGCAGCAGTGGATTTCTCTGCAGACGCGCATGACCCTCACCTTCGCCCCACGCACTTTCCGTGCGCCGGAGAGCATCGACCTGCAGATCATGCTGTCTTCCAGAACGAACTGGACTGAGGTTGACGTGTTAGGCCCTCGGTCTTATCCGGGCAGTCACTTCTGGGTTCTCACCGACGGACAACCAACACTGTTTGCCGTCGAAGCTGGCAGGCGCCGCACCTTCAAGTCCGACCTTGCTCGCCAGCTGCTCAGCGATGTTGTGCGTCTCACCCTGAAGTCCGCACAACCGCGAGTGCCTGATGTTTTCTGTCAGGGTTACGTTGTGTCTGACGTTCTCGTTGCCACAGAACAGCTTTCCCGGCTGCCTTGTCCGCCTGCCCGTGTCCGTGATGATCGCTTCATCATCATTTTGGACTGTCGCCGGATTCTTCAGGGTTTTTGCTGGTTTCTGCATGGCCAAGATGTGCTTCGGGTGCAGGATGTCGCGGACCGTTTCCGCGATACTTGCCCCCCAGGCTATCTGGTCT